GACTAGCAGGACTTTCTGAGGACCGGCTGTGGGAGGTGGGGGTTAGGGAGAGGGAGGGGTCCAGGAGAACTTCCAGCATTCCAGCTTGAGCAAGTGGGTGGATGGTGATGCCAGAGATGAGCTGGGGACACCGGAGGCAGAGCAAGTTTGGGCGGGCTGAGCCAGGGAGCTCGGTTTGGACCTGAGGCTGATTGAGAGATGTTTCTGTGTAGTCCAGGAGGCCATTAGACATGTGGGTCTTGAGCTCAGAAGAGATCATTAAAGTCAACAGAGTAAATGAAATTACCTAGGGGAGGAGGGGAGGAGAAGGGAATATACAGTGAGAAGAGGGCCTGGGGCACTTCTGAGGAACCATGGGAGCAAGGCTTGGGGGTGGAGTGACCAGAGGCCCTGAGCTTGGAAATCAGAACAGCTGAAATCCAGTTACCTTCTCTCAGCCCCAACAGGCATCTGGCTTTGGCTCTTCTTCTCCTGGCCCAGCATCACTGATTGGCACAAGCATTTACCAGCTGAGAGAGTCCTCCTGCCTTCCCCACTAAAATCTTCTTCCTGGGCAAACTCCTAGTTATCCTCAGACCCAGCTTGGGTGGCCCGTCCTCCAAGGGAAGACTTCCTGGTCAAGGCCCGTGCTCTGCAGTTGGACAACCTGGGTTTGAATCCCAGCTCTGCCACTTGACAGCTGTGTGACTTTACTCAAGTAACTTAACTTCAATTTCTTCATTTATACAATGGAGCTAATAACAGTGCCTACCTTGTAGAGTTGTTTGAAGATGAGCAGTTAAAGTGCTAACAGATTACCTAGCACATAGTAAGCACTAAATAAACATTACTGTTACTAACATCCCACCCACCTCACAAAGTTAGTCATGCCCTCCACCTTCTACCTCCTCCACTTGGGAACTCTTTGCAGGTCTGTGTCTCCCCTGCCTCTTCTTCCCCTCCCCCCATATAATTTGCAGGGCCCGGTGCAAAACGAAAATGTGGGCCCCATTCTTCAAAACTATGAAGAATTTCAAGTGGCTACAACAGAGCATTATTAAACCAAGCACGGGGGCCTTCTGAGGGCGGGGCCCTGTGTGACCATAGGCTCATGATTCCAGTCCTGCCCCCACCCTCAGCCAGCCTAGAGCTGATGTCAGTCTCCATGCGGTAGAATAAAAAGCCAGCTGACATTGAGATAAGGCTTTATGATTTCCATCTAGAATTTCACCTTATCCTCCCCACAGAGAGATGGCATCAATCCTATTTTATAGTCCAAGACACTGAGTTTCAGAGACAGGGTGTGCCTAGCCAGAGGTCCCCCAGCTTGTGAACTGCAGAGCTGGGGTGTGAACACAGCCAGCCAGTGCCAAAGCCCTGCGTCTTGCCCTTTGGCTCCCCAGGAGCTCGAGAGAGGCTGGCCCCAAGGGCTGAGCTTCGTCAACAAGGCTGCGATGCACCTCAGCCCAGAGAGAGGGAGTGGGTAGGACTGGGACTGGCCCTCTCCCTCCTGGGGCAAGTCACATAAACAACCTGCTCCCTGGGTACCAAGGCTGCTGCACAGGGAAATGGGTAGGAGAGGGCAAAAGGTCACCCATGGTGAGGGCCCTTTACCCCAGCCCGCATTCTGGAAATCTGGCCCTGTCTTCTCTGCTTAAAACTCTTCGGGGGGCTGCCATTGGCCTTGGGATAAATTCCCAAGTCTTTAGTATCCTGCTAGACCAAGGAGGTCTGGCCTGGCTACGCTGAGGTCTGCCCACTCTCAGCCCACTCTCCCACCGCCATCCTCCCCACCACACCAAGTTTGTTCCCACCATCACCAGGGCCTCAGCACACTCTGTTCCCCTTCCTCTTCCTTTCTTTACCTCATCAACGCCTGCCTTCCTTCACATCTCAGCTAAGATGTCACCTCCTCCAGGAACCCTTCCCAGACTCCTGAGGGTAGGCGAGCACCCTAGGAACAGGTTCTAGAGGCTCCCTAGATCCCTCCTTTAACACACCTCACCTGTGTAATTACCTGCTCTGGTCGGCTCCTGCTAGAATGCAGGCTTCGTGAGGGCAGGGCTGCCTGGTTCACAGAGGGGCTCAGTGACTGACCCCTCCCTCCTGAAACGGAGGCAAGACAGCCCTGCACGCTTTCTCCTCTTCTCTCCACTCTTCCCCAGCCCTTTTCCTTGCCCAGGCATCTTCAGCGCGCGGTGTGAGGAGCCCAAATTTGTAAAGGGAAGCGAACCATCATTTAATAGTGCCCTCCACCTGCCAGCCCTGGCTGGGTGCTGTACATCCATTACAGCACCTTTCAGGTGGGAGTGGGGGCAGCGTGGGTATAAACTGTCCCTATTTTCAAGGGGAGGCTATGAGGCTCAGCAGTTGCAGCCACCTGCCTGCACTGGTAACAGAGCCTGGAAGTAGAAGATACAGGATTTGAACCTAGGTCTGACTGATGCCCAAGTACCTGGTCTCCTCTTTGCCCCAGGCCACGCAGTTCCCATGACTCACCATTCCCAGCCAGCTCACCTCCAACCGCAGAGTAGTTATTTCTAAGCTGTGCCCTCAGTTCACACACACCCCAGCGGGTGCAGCTCCTCTGTCAGGTCAGCAAAATACCAGAGTAGGAGACAGCTCCACTGTCAGCGAGAGGCCAGAGCAGAAGTCACCCTCTCCCTGAGATCAACACAATGCCAGTGTGGGAGAGACACCCCCATGTCAGCCAAACACTAATGGGGGAGACACCCCACTGTCAGCAAAACACCAGCTCAGGAGATGCATCCTGCACCCCATGTCAGCAGAGTGCCAGGAGGAAAGACACTACCACTGTCAGCAAAATGCCAGTGTGAGAGACACCTCCCTACATTCCCCTCTGCGTGTGCCCAGACATGGTTTGGGGTACACAGAGAGCATCCCCCAGGGTGGTGCTCCTGGGGTGGGGGGAGGCTCCGGGCTAGGCTGCTGCTGCTTGGGGGAAGAGGCTGTGGCTGGGGAGTGGGGTGAGAGTTCTCACATGGCACTAATGAAATCAACCACCAGCCTCCCCCCCCCACCACCTTCCCCAGGGACCCTCCAGGCTCCAGCTGATGCAATGCCCAGGCAGGATAATTGTTTTCTTCCCTCCTTAAAGGGCTAGCTGCTGTTCCAGCTGCTGATATCACCCAGACCCCTGACAGACCCCGCAAAGCACTGGGAAGCGAGAGGAAGAGCCCAGAGACTACCAGTTTCAGGCCTGGACTCCCACAGAATAAAATCAAATTAATATCCAGACACCAGAAGTGTGGATGAGCAAAGAGTGAGGGAGTGATAATAGTTAAGACAGTGACAGAGCCCTGGCCCACTAGAACACATGCCCCCCGCCACCCACAAAGGGCTCACAAGTGCCTTGCTCCCTACTGGATCCTTAGCACCTGGCTCCCGCAGGGCTGCCCCAGAGAGTGCTTGGCACAGGGGTAGCTCATGTGTTCAGCAGTTATTTTCTGAGCTCCCCTGAGTGCCAGGCACCCTGTGAAGCAGCTCAAATCTACCATCTCATTTACTTCTTCCAGGAGACCTAAAAGGTAGGTCTGTTTTACAGAAGGAGGCTCAGAGGAGGGGAGTGATTTTCTCAACATCACACAGCCAGGAAGTGGCAGAGCCTGACTTTGAAGCCAGGTTTGCCTGACTCTGGTATCCAAACCCAGCAAAGTGTCGGGTAGGTACGGAACCCCAGGGCTGAGGCCTTTAAGCCAAACAACCTGGCACAGAGGGCAGGGAAGGGGTCTGTGGGCCCTAAACAGGCTCCAAAGTGCACAGTGCTTGGTTTAAACACCAGTTTCATGGACCCGCTCCCCAGAGGGACTCTGCCCACCTCTCCCCAACCAGAGAATGCCCCATTAGGCTGCCCAGATACCCCCAGGGACAGTTGGCAGCTGCAGATTACAGACTAATTGGTGGCTGGCAGCACTGTGGGGCTGGCTAGTTAACCACTCGGTGACCAGGCCCAGCCCAGGAAGGCCCTCCCCCTACCACTTCAGGCCCCAAACCTAAGGCCTCCAGGCTTAAGAAGCCATCATGTGCAGGGGACAGGACCAAAGGGGCAGCAGCCTTCCCCACCACCACACACACACAGACAATACCTCCGGGCCTGGGGTTAGATGTTGACAGTGCCCTAAGTTCCCCAGCCCTGAAGGGCCACATCCAAACAGTCTCTAGGTGGCAGTGCCAGCCAAGGATACTTGTTCTTTGATCTTGGGTATGACACTGCCCACCCCAATCCAGGACCACAGCAGCTATGCTCCCCCACTGGGTTTCCAGACCCAGGACACTGGGAAGAAACCCACTCCTCAGTACTGGGCTCTCCAGAGAAGGTGATGGGGGAATGGGGTCCAGGAAGCCAGGAGGCCAGTCAGGGAGGATACCCACCCCCTGAATGTGTGGGTGCCCAGGTTGCCCATCAACGGTCTTGTCAAGCCTTCCTGCACCCTGCTCCCCACTGTGCTATTGACCAACTGCTTTTTCCAGCTTCCCAGAAGCCCACTCTTTCCACCCTAGGGCTGGAGTGAGCACCACCCCTTTTCTTTCATGGGCAGGGGTCCTCTAGACACCATAATGGTGTCACGTTTGGAGGAAAGTGTGGCTGCTTCTCAACCAGGGCATGAGCAGGAGAGAGAAAGGCAGGCTGCCTCCCAGCTCTCTTTCCAGGATGAATTTTAAACACTTTCCAAAAATGCCATCCGAGGCACTGCTGTTGAGGATCAGGGCCCCAGGTGCTCTGAGCATCAGCAAAGAACTCACGACTGAGGCCCCCACCGCGTTTCCCAGGCTTCCCCACACACCCCACGCCCCCCTCGCACCTTAGCCCCTACCCCACAACCATCATACGCACTGTGCTCCTCCTGACGAGCCCCCGCCCCCCAGACCCCCCACACTCAGTCCCTACGTGGCGCCTCACGGCCGGACTCCCCCCTCCTGGTGATTCTTCCGGCACCTGGACCTCCTCAGCCCCCTCCCCATGTCCACTCCTGGCGAGCAAGGAAGGCCCGCTGACTTACCCAAAGGTGGGGTCGGGGTCCAGGTAGGGAGAGGGGCTCCGCAGGCCGAGGCGGCACTGCAAGGCGGGGCAGGTGCTGCCCCAGGACCCCGCCCCGCGGACCCGGCAGTGGGCGCGGCCCGGCCCCAGGCTGGCGGTGGACTCCGAAGGGGGAGGGACGCGGGGCGGGGAGGGGCGGCGAGAGAGACTCACGGGGGCATCGCCCGCCACCAGGCCGGGCAGCTCCACTCCGCCCGCCTACGCTGCCGACTCCGCAGCCGCCACCGTTCTCAGCCGCCGCCGGGTGCAAAGCCCAAGCCCCGGCTGGCGGGAGGCGAAGAGGGAGGCGGGGCTTGTTGGGGGCGGGGCCTCTGGCGGGCGGGAGGGGCCAAGGAAAGGGTGGGCGGGGCCTAGGAGAATTCTGTGTTGGCCTGGTTGGGGGCCACCTACGCTAATAAGACCTGGAAGGGGTGGGCCTGGAAGAGGCGGGGTACCTCAAACCTCTCCTGGGGCGCTCCTGCTTCAAGCCTGGCTTCCCACTCCACCACCACCCTTAGCTGTTGTTTCTCTTCCTTCCTTCTGTTTGGGGCATCTCCCAGGAACTCACCAGCACTTCGGTGACCCCAGTCCGATCCCCAGGCAAAACACTGAGAACAGCTTCGGCCCTGCAATCTGGCTAACCAGATCTGGAACATCAGGTGATGAGATCAGGGGAAAACGACTTACAAACATTAAGTCCATTTTACAGATTTTATAAAAACGAAAGCCCAGAGGAGGAAAGACTGGCCTGAGTGCCAGCTATGAAGAAAAAGACTTTATAATGTCCCTTTCAGACACAGGGTAGGGCAGGATGGCAGTGTCCTGCCCTGAGACCCAAGTTAACCTCCCTTCCCTTGCCCTCTCTACTTCTCCTAGGGCAAAGATTTCCAACTTGGGGTGATTTTGCCCCCACAGGGGACATTTGGTCTGGGACACTTTTCCACAAAAGAAGGATGTGGCAATCTGCTCCTGTAAAGATTAACAGCCTTGAAAACCCTATGGGGCACGTCTACTCTAACCTCTAGGGTCACTATGAATCAGAATTTGACTCAGTGGCAATGGGTTTCGTTTTTGTTTTGTTTTGGGGGGGAGACATTTTTCGCTGTCTCAACTGGGGGATGTTACAGGCATCTAGTGGGTAGAAGCCAAGGATACTGCTAAACATCCTACAATGCACAGGAGAGCCTCTCACACCAAAGAATTGTCTGGCCGCAAATGTTAATAGTGCCAGCTTGAGAAATCCTGCCCTAGGGCCTGGCGTCTGCTTTAATGATCTTCCGAGTGGGCTCCCTGAGTCCCGGGTTCCTTGGCAGCCTGGGGCTGGGTGAGGATGCTGTATGAAGTCTCTCCTAGGGTCATGCCTTCCACAAATACTTCATTCACCTTGCTTAGGACTGGTCAGTTCCACTCTAGGGATCCAGTATTCTCAATTCCATTCATCTACCCTATTATTAATATTTGCCTTCCTAATTGTTCGCTGGAGGCAGACAAAAAAGTAATCTCCCTGCTGAAGGCATGAATTAAAGTGTGAATGGGAAGTGGGGAAGTAGGGGGAAAAAGGTTTTGGGATTAAATGAGCCTCCTGGGGATAGCTAGCTGTATATTCTACGTACCTCTCAGTCTATCTCATCCTTTCTCACCTGGTATGTGAGAAGGGTAAACTGAGGCCCAGCATTGTGGAGAGACAGAAGCTAGGTCCCACAGCTGGTCCGAGGTGGAGCTGGGATTCATTATTTTATTCATTTGTTATTTAAACTTTTGTTATCATCTAATCTACATCAAAGGAACCTTGGTGGTGCAGTAGTTAATGGTATTAAAACTGGACTAGACAAATAAGTAGAACAAAATGGATTAACAGAAATGGATTCAACCACACAAAGGAATTTAGTGTATGATAAAGATAGCATCAAATAAGTGGGAGGAAAAACCCTTTGAATAAATGGGTGGAATAACTGGCAATTCATAGGGGGAAGAAAAGAAATCCGTGTCCTTATTCTACACCGAGCTGAAGCACATATTTAAATAACAACACTAATGTACCAGAAGAAAACATGAGTGAATATTTTAATAATCTTGGAGATGGAAAACCATGATGAAACCTAGAAAGCTGAAAAAGGAAAACATCAATAAACTTGACCACAAAAACTTCTACAGAGAAGAAATGACTATAAGTTTGAAAGACAAATGAGAAATCGGAGAGGATAAATTTCAGTCGCCATCCACTCAAACTGTGGCCCACCAGCCCCTCCCCCAAGCAGGCGGGACAGTCCAAGCTGTGAGAGTGGAGGCCCAGCACACGGCGAAGGCTCCTTCCACGGCGCCCTGGCCTGCGACCACCTGTTCAGGGGCTGGGAAACCTCGGAAATCCCAGCCAGGCCATCTGGGTCCACAGCAGGTGCCTTCGCACAACGGAGCCAAAGGCCGCTCACCACTTCTCTCGTGTGGCCAGCCTGGGAACTGCAATCATGCCCCTGAAGCTTCCCTGCGTTAAGGCGGGAATTTTTTTTTTCTTAAAATAAATAACAACTAATTTTCTTTTCTTTTCTTTTTTGAGGGAGCTAACCATGTTCCAAAGAGGCTTCGTAGTGCAGTGCAATCAATGGTTAAGCCAATCAATGCTCAAGCGCTAGGATGCTAACTGAAAAGGTCAGCAGTTTGAACCCACCAGCCGCTCTGCGGGAGAAAAGACCTGGCGATCTGCTTCTGTAAAGATTGCAGCCTTGGAAACCCTAAGGGGAAGTTCTCTATCTTATAGTGTTGCTATTTGTTGGAATCTGCTCCACGGCACACAATAACAACCATGTTCCAGGCACTGTGCTAAACGCTTAACATAGATTATTTCATTTGACCCTCAAAACAACTGTATGAGATAGGTTTACTTTATTATTAATCTCCATTTGACAGATGGGGAAACTGAGGCCTTGAGAGGAGAAGTGACTTGTCCAATTTCTAAGTGGTGGCACCAAGATTTAATGTCTGACTCCCCAACTCTTAATGTGAGAAAGCCAAGTCCTCAGGGAAATTCAGTAAAACAAACTCTTTTGAGGCTTACCTTGATCCAGATATTATACCAGGTGTTGGAATACAGAATTGAGGAAAAGTCATCAGGACAGACAGGCAGAGAAATATTTCTGGTAGGACGAACCCTGGAAACAGTGGGTGATGTGTTAACCCTAGGAAGGGGTAGGGGGAGCAGGGAGGGATCCCTAGCGGATGTCCTTGAAGCTGAGTCTTGTGAAGTTTGAGAGAGGAGGAAAAGTGGGGCTTGCGGGAGGAGCAGTAATCTATGCCACTGAGTTTGGGATAGGTTGGAGATGAGGTTGGACACGTACACCAGGACCATGTTAAGGATTTGGTGCATGGAGGAGTTTGGGCACAAAGATTTTGAGATCTTTTCCATGTTTCAGTTGACTTGGCCTAGGGGCCGCCTGCTCTTCCAACCCAGCTAGCTTCTTTTCTCAAAGATGCTTCCCATTCCGGTTCCAGGTACCAGTTGCCTAAGCCAGAAACCTAGGTGTCACTGTTGACTTCACCCTCTTCTTCACTCCATGCAGTGAATTATCAGGGTCTGCCCAGTCTACCCCCTATATGCCTCCCAGGCTCATCCACTTCCCTCCATCCCCACTGCCACCCTACTAATCCAGATTGCCTTCCTCTCATTCCTGAATTTCAGCTACTGTCAGTTACTTGGTTTCCTCACATGCAAAACAGAAAAGAGGAGGAGGAAGAGGAGAAGAAGGAGGAGGAAGATTTTCATGAATTACATTTAGCAAGCATTCAATAGATGTATGCTGCATAAGCAAAAGAAAGAAATAACAAATTCCATGGAAAATTCCTGGGCAGAAAATCTGGAGCCTTGGGCTTCCATTACATGGTTCTGTTGATGGTGCAGTTCCTGCCCAACCCACATCCCTTTATAAGAAAACAAATGCAGCTGGGGCTATGCTTTAGACCACTCGAGCCCTCCAGCCTCTAGGCTTTAGCAGATTGGGTCAGCACCTACCCAAGGGCAGCCATTTCATTAACTGGTGACTCTAACCAATGGCCTAGCACAAGTTGAGATGGGCCAGTTAGAGCCTCTCTCGAACCAAGGAACAGAAAGAAATCATCAGTTGACAGAGGGAGTTGAAAATAGAGAGGTCAGAGACTAGTGGGCCTTGACCAGCTGGGCCATGTGCAAGCCAAGATAAGCGGGAACAGAAACCATGAGTAAGCAGGGACCTGTTGGTAGGGAGAGGAGAAAAGAGCAAATCCTGTCCAGAGACGGGAGGGGAGTGAAGAGAGAGAGAGCAAATAGAACAGTGAGTCCTAGATCTGCCTCATGCATGCTGACATTTCAATTCCAGTTCATATGTGTCCTTTCGAAAAACTCCTTTGTATTTGAACTAGATTGAGTGGGTTTCTCTTCCTTGCAGCCCAATGAGCCTGACTCTACTGTGTTATCTTGGCAAGTTCCTGCCCCTTTCTGGGCCTCAATTGGACTAGACTATCTCTAAGGTCCTCTCCAGATCAATGTTCTCTTTGAATATTGTGTAGAGGGGATGGTTTTAAGGTTGTGGCAACTGAGTTTCAGTATTAGTTACAGCACCCCTAATATCCTGGCTCCCAAAATACCTTGGTAGCTGGTTAAAGAACCTGTTAGAGGATACAACACATACCTGGCTTTGGACCTGAGCCCTGCTGATATAATCAGCCTTCCCCTTCTATTGCATCCTTTGTTGAATCACAAAGGACTGAGGAACTGGGGTTGGTGCTTCTCCACTGTCTGTTGGCTGCTGAATGCCCTACCTGCCCCTTTAAGACTTTCCTGGACCCACTTCAGCATTTCAGAGGATTCCATTGCCAGGTCTGCTCCAAAGAAAGTGCCACTCCAGGAAGAATTCGAACAAAGAAAGTTTCCTTCTTTGGTATTAAGATTTCCTGCCTTCCAGCTGTTTGGCTCTTGGCCTGTGCCCTGCCTTCATCCTCCTAAGCTAATAACCATGTTGATAATAATACTTCTTGCTTTTGTGTGGTGCTTTGTATTTTTCAAAG